TCTGCCTGTAAACACATAGGCCGGGCTGTAGAACAGCGTGCTTTGCAGGGATGCGAGAAGACGGAATAATAGAAACCTTCCCTGAGATAAACTGCCTGGAAGTGTCAGGTGGTTATACTGACCCTCGAATGTCCCCAAATTTCTCTTGGCAAAGGTTTACTTCAAAGACTGAATCTTGATACATGCCATGTCTTGGGTTCAGTGACATGACAGGTCCTCTTCTTGCTCCAGCGGTGGATTTTAAATGCTGCAGAGAGTGGCACCACATAATGATCTAGCGCAACTCTCTGCAGCACTTTGATGACATGGCACCACTGTCTGCAGCACTCTTTGATCTGGTGTCACCCTCTGTAGCATTCTATGATCTGGTGTCACCCTCTGTAGCATTCTATGATCTGGTGTCACCCTGTGCAGCATTCTATGATCTGGTGTCACCCTGTGCAGAACTCTATGATGTGGTGTCACTCTCTGCAGCACTTCATGATGTTGTGCCACTCTCTGCAGAAGTCTTTGGTCTGGTGTCACTCTCTGCAGAACTCTATGATGTGGTGTCACTCTCTGCAGCATTCTTTGGTCTGGGGTCACTCTGTGCAGCACTCTTTGATCTGGTGTCACTCTGTGAAGCACTCTTTGATCTGGTGTCACTCTGTGCAGCACTCTTTGATCTGGTGTCTCTCTGTGCAGCTCTCTATGATCTGATGTAACTCTCTGTAGAACTCTGGGATCTTGTGTCACTCTCTGCAGCACTCTATGATGTGGTGTCACTCTCTGCAGAACTCTTTGGTCTGGTGTGACTCTGTGCAGCACTCTTTGATCTGGTGTCACTCTATGCAGCACTCAATGATGTGGTGTCACTCTCTGCAGCATTCTTTGGTCTGGGGTCACTCTGTGCAGCACTCTATGATGTGGTGTCACTCTCTGCAGCACTCTTTGATCTGGTGTCACTCTGTGCAGCACTCTTTGATCTGGTGTCACTCTATGCAGCACTCTATGATGTGGTGTCACTCTGTGCAGCATTCTTTGGTCTGGGGTCACTCTGTGCAGCACTCTTTGATCTGGTGTCTCTCTGTGCAGCTCTCTATGATCTGATGTAACTCTCTGCCGCACTCTATGATGTGGTGCTACTCTCTGAAGTACTCTATGATGTGGTGCTACTCTTTGCAGCCCTCCCATGTGAGTCCGGGGTGGGGGGCAGGACCTTAAAGCCCCGGGGTCCCATGGAGTGCGTTGCATAACGCTGTATGTTCTTTTGTCCTAAATGGAGAGAAATGCTCGGAGTTCTTCTTTAAAATGGAACTACGGGCAAAACTTTTTTTTTCCGCTAGCTTTTAATGGAGTGGGGAAGACTTATAACACCTGTCAGGTCCCCACTGGGGAGATTTCCAGCATGCATGTGTGTTTAGAAGGAGACAGATATAAAGGATGAGGAAAGAGAGAAAGAATGAAGAAGAGGGAAAGAATGAAGAGGGAAATAAAGATAGAATGAAGATGAGGGAGAGAGAGAGAGAGACAAGGAAAATGAAAAAAGAGAGGGAGAAGAGAGAGAAGAAGGAGGAGAAATTATAAAAAGGAAAGAGAGAAGAAGGAAATTGAGAAAATGAAAAGGAGAGAGAATGAAGAACAAGAAAAGAGAGAACGAGTGCAAAGAAGAGGGAAAGAGAGAAAAGAAAGACAAATGAAAGAGAGTGAGAATGAAGAAGAGAGGGAGGTAGGATGAAGAGGTAAAGAGAGAGAGAGTGAAGAAGAGGGTAAGAGAGAGAAAGATAAGAAGAGGGAGAGAGGGAGGGGGGATAAATAAGAGAGAAAAGAAAGAAGAGGGAAAGAGAGAAAAGAAAGACAAATGAAAGAGAGTGAGAATGAAGAAGAGAGGGAGGTAGGATGAAGAGGTAAAGAGAGAGAGAGTGAAGAAGAGGGTAAGAGAGAGAAAGATAAGAAGAGGGAGAGAGGGAGGGGGGATAAATAAGAGAGAAAAGAAAGAAGAGGGAAAGAGAGAAAAGAAAGACAAATGAAAGAGAGTGAGAATGAAGAAGAGAGGGAGGTAGGATGAAGAGGTAAAGAGAGAGAGAGTGAAGAAGAGGGTAAGAGAGAGAAAGATAAGAAGAGGGAGAGAGGGAGGGGGGATAAATAAGAGAGAAAAGAAAGAAGAGGGAAAGAGAGAAAAGAAAGACAAATGAAAGAGAGTGAGAATGAAGAAGAGAGGGAGGTAGGATGAAGAGGTAAAGAGAGAGTGAAGAAGAGGGTAAGAGAGAAAAAGATAAGAAGAGGGAGAGAGGGGGGGATAAGGAAGAGGGGAAGAGAGAAAAGAAAGAAGAGTGGAAGAGAGAAAAGAAAGAAGAGGGGAAGAGAGAAAAGAAAGAAGAGGGGAAGAGAGAAAAGAAAGAAGAGGGGAAGAGAGAAAAGAAAGAAGAGGGGAAGAGAGGGGGGAGCTCTTTTTATTTGTGTGAGTATACAATGAAGTCCCCTTGGGTTGTAGTTTTCGTGGCCCTTTCGATTTTGTCGTTTGGTTGCAAACTACTTTGTGCAAGATGTTTTAGTTTTTTTTTTTAAACGGGATCTGGTTTATGTCTCATGTATATGTTCCTCTTATCTTATTCTTTTATCGATCTCTTGATTCCTATTTCATGTGTACTCTTTTACTGTTTGTTGTTTGTTTACTTTCCTCTCTTTTATGTCTGGTTTTGGAATTTATCTGTTGATATTATTGTCCTGAATTCTTCAATAACATCAAAAAAGATTTTTTTTTAAAAAGAAAAGAGGGGGAAATAGAGGATGAAAAAGAGGGAGAGAGAGAGAGAGAAAGACAAAGAGAGAGAGAATAAAGGCAAGAGCAAGAGAATGAAGAAGACGAGGAGAGAGAATGAGGAGGGAGAGAGGATGAAAAAGATGGAGAGAAAAAGACAAAGAGAGAGAGAATTAAGACGAGGGAAATAGAGAAAATAAAGATGAGGGAAAGAGAGAGAGGATGAAGAAGACAAGGACAGGGAAATAGGAGGGAGAGAGGATGAAAAAGAGGGTGAGAGAAAAAAATGAAGAAGGGGAGAGAGAGAGAGAGAGAGAGAGGGAGCGAGAGACAGGATAAAAAGAGGGAGAGAGAGAATGAAGACGAGACAGAATGAAGAAGAGGGTTAGAGAGAGAATTAAGAAGAGCGAGAGAGAGAGAGAGAGAGAGTAGAAACATGGAGAGAGAGAATGAAGAAGAGGGAGAGAGAACGAAGAAGAGGGAGAGATAGAATAGAAAGAGGGAGAGAATAAAGAAGAGGAAGAGAGAGAATGAAGAAGATGGAGAGAATAGAAAGAGAGAGAATGAAGAAGAGATTCAAGGAATAAAGAAGAGGGAGAGAGAGAATGAGAGAGAGAGAGAGAGAGAGAAGGGAGAGAGAGAATAGAAAGAGGGAGAGAGAGAATGCAGCAGAAGATGAGAGAGAATGAGGAAGAGGGAGAGAGAGAGAGAATGAGGAAGAGGGAGAATGAAGAAGAGAGAGAATAGAAAGAGGGAGAATGAAGAAGAGGGAGAATGAAGAAAAGAGAGAATGAAGAAGAGGGGGAGATAGAGAATGAACAAGAGGGAGAATGAAGAGGAGAGAGACAGAGATGAAGATCCGGGAGCAGCGATGATCTCCTATCTACACGCTCCTATGTGCTGTGACAGCTCCCAGTCCCTGGTACCCGCTGAGCCTCCCGTTGCTAGGGACCCGGACCCGCCCCCTAGTGACGCCGGAGCCGGTTGCCAGGGAAGAGAACGGAGCGCAGCCAGTCGCGCGCATCAGACGTCAGTTCCGGCATCTATTGGTAACGTGTCCTTACCGGTGTTCTAGCGAAAGGTCCGACTTGCAAACCGTGATCCCCGATAGGCAGCCCGGATATGGCGGAGCTGGAGCCCTCCGCTCTGCACAATGATAGCACCGATGTGCCCGGCAACGGTACGGCCAAACTGCTCAGCTCTCCGGAGGGCACCGCGCTGGCCTATGGCAGCCTGCTGGGAATGGCATTGCTGCCCATCTTCTTCGGGGCTATAAGGAGTGTGAACTGTGCCCGGGGCAAGGTGAGTGGGGAGAAGGGGCCCTGGTCACCTCCTGTGTATTATCACCTCTCATGTGACATTATATACATATTATGTACATTATATACAGATTGCAATATAATGATCTGATCCCCCTCCTGTCTATTATCACATCTCTGTATATTATTTCATATATACAGACTGTAGTATAATGATCTGATCCCCTCCTGTATATTATCACCACACACACAGTAATATAATGGTTTGATCCCCTCCTGTGTATTATCACATTAGATATGGTCGGAGTTCTCCTTTAGACTTGTAACCCTGTGTTTTCTGTCCCCGCAGAATTCCTCCGACATGCCGGAGACGATAACCAGCCGGGACGCGGCTCGGTTTCCTATTATCGCCAGTTGTACACTCTTCGGGCTTTACATCTTCTTTAAGGTGAGTGCTGGGACATTGCTGTTGCCCCCTTTTGGGGTATCAGACAGATCGTGATCATGGTGCAGGATGCTCCCGGTGCATTGCTGCTGTCACGGATTGTCAGGGTGTAAAGGACACGGGAGAATCCACTGGTTCAATGCATCTGACCAGCCGGCTCGGTGCTGATTGGCTGGGAAGCTGGCTTCCCGGCCAATCAGCATGGAGATGGCTTCCCGGCCAATCAGCAAGGAGATGGCTTCCCGGCCAATCAGCAAGGAGATGGCTTCCCGGCCAATCAGCAAGGAGATGGCTTCCCGGGCCAATCAGCATGGAGCCCAGGCATTCAGGAGGCAGGTAATGACACACTGCCCGGCTTTCTGATTGGCCCGGGAGCCGGCACCATGCTATCAGAAGTACCAGTATCGGTAATAGCGAGTACCAAAAGATAAATATCAGTACTCGATACCCAAAGACCGATGTGCGTGCATCCCTACTCATTATGGTGGCAACAATTCTGTCACCAGCCCACCGTTGCAATAAATGATTGCCTCAGTATTCAGACACAGTTTTTTCGTTCACACTCGTCCAGCAAAACATTCAATTATAGGTTCCCACACTGAATGGATTTCCTCTATCGGGGTTCAGGCACCTTTCTCCAGTACTGCCAGGCCAGCCCACAGTTAAAATGGCCGCTGGTGCTCTGTCCCCACCTTCTCTGTCACAATCAGCGCTCTGCAGCCACATTCACGTCCGCTGTGAGTGTTAGGTTAGCAGTGCTGAGCGCTGACTTGCAGCACAGCATTCATCTGCAGCTTGCTAACTCAGCACTCGCAGCGGCTGAGCAACTGAACACCGCTCTGCTCTCTGTGGCAACATGCGCAGTGTCCCGTAACCAAGGAAACCATAACAACTACCCACAAGAGAACACAGTCAAACATTACACCTCCTAAACAAATTGCACTCATTTGTAACAGAACATGACAGTATAGGTATCGATGTGTCCTTCACTCAGGTATTTGGCCTCAGGGTCAGGAGGAGGAGGCAAGGGAGTGTTTCTGCCAGTGTTATGTCTCCGTCTTCTCAAATATTCTGCTTCCTTCCGATAGTCTCTAAAGGGTCCTGGAGCCAGCCAGCGATCTGGCGAATGGCGATCTCCCACAGGACAATTGCAGGTCGCGCCACAGGAGGTTGGTATTATTTTGGGATTGGAACCAGAGACCCCAGGGTCTGAATTGTCAGGCAATAGTTTTACATTGTGTGAAGGGGCATCCTGCTGTAAACCATTCTGGTCTTGACTATCCGTATTATCATCCATACGCCAAACCAGATATCCGTGTCAGAAGATCTTGAAGGCATGTCCTTGGTCACGGAGACCCGTGGGCCAAAGCTGATCAGTATGTCGTCTTGTAATACAACCTTCTGCTGCGGAGACTTCATACATTTTGGTTACCTACTTGTTTCAGGTGCCCACCGAAGCTTCTCTAGATAGAGGCAAATCCATAGTCTCTTCGGTTTGGTAAGTTCTGGTAACTCCTCCGCTCTTCCACTTATCAAGCGGGTTTTTCACCTGCTCTTCAGGTTTCAGCAGATCAAGCTTTGTCCGCAGTAGCCTTCCCAACAGTAGGTATGCAGGTGCTTGGCCCGCAGGTGGAAACATTGTACAGCATCTATAGTGGGCCACGGCACATGTCCTCCTGCTTTTTGCTTCATGCGTACTATCCCTGGGTGGCCTTCATGACGTAGATGTAGAGTTTAGAATAATCACTCGATCTCCCCAAAAGAGGCAGCCACCTTTCACAGGCGGTTCAAGAGCTTTTGACTGATAAGGCCGTACATTTTCCATAGATGTAGAGGGCCACCCATACCACACAAAACACATGACTTCTGCCAATACAATATCCTTTCGGAAGCAATTTGGCTTCCGAAAGCCAAAATAATCATAAGAGATGGCCTTGTCTCTTATTTTGTTTCATTGCAACCTTCCAGTAGTTGTGGTAGAGATGCCTTTTTTGCGGAATAAAAATTGCTTGAAGTGGCTTGTGATCGGTTAATAGAGTAAAAGAGCGCCCATATATGTAATGGAGGAACTTCTCAAGCCCCCCAAAGGATTGCTAAAGCTTCTTTACCAATGTGGACATAGTTATTTTCATCTGTGGTAAGGGTCCTACTGGCAGGTCTGTGCCGTCTGCCATAGTGTGTGACAATACAGCACCCAGTCCATAAGGTGATGCATCACAGGCTATGAACAAAGGCTTCTGCAAGTCATAATGTGCTTGGACACTTGAGCTCCGGGCCAGTGCCTTTGCCTTCTTAAAAACATAATTACATGATGATGTTCAGTTCCAGTTACAATTCTTTTTCTAGTAACCGGTGTTGGGGAAACAACAAGTGTACTAAATTGGGTAGAAAACTGTGATAGTAGATTAAGAGACCTAGATAAGATCGTAATTGAGTAATGTTCCGAGGAACTGGAGCATCCTGCCAAGCCTAACCGTTGTCATTTGTGGTGTGAAGGCCATCCTTATCAATGACGTGAGTACCAAACTCTAGGCCAGGCATGGGGAACCTTTTCCCTGCCAAGGGCAATTTGGATATTTATAACATAATTGGCGGGCCATACAAAATTATCAATGTAAAAATTAGCGTGCTATGTTTGGGCAAACATTTAAGTAACTCATCCCTAATGTGATGGCTGGAACTGCTTCTCTTTGGTGAGGTGTATGATGTTAGCTGGTAAAACGGCCCTCGGGCTGGAGGTTCCCCACTGTCCTTCAAGAGCTCGCACTTAACTACATTTCCTTTTAGCCCATGCTCCATGAGTTTTGTGAGCACAGCTTCCACATTCTGTTTGTGTTCCACTACTGGGCGTCCAGTCACTAACATGTCATCCAGAAGGCACTGTGTCCCTGGAAATCCTGCTAGAAGTTCGCCCTTTGTGCGCTGCCAGATGGCCGGGACAGATCCAATTCCAAACACCATGTGCGTATACTGGAAAAGCCCCTTATGTGTGTTTTAATAGTTAGGTAGTTTCTAGAGTCTGGATGAAGTCAATCTTTGTGAATTGCTGTCCTCCAGCCAAAGAAGCAAAAATATCTCCCACCACCGGCTGGGGGTATGTATTGATGACCAATTGTGCGTTTAATGCCATGCGACAAATCCTTATGTCTCCATTCTTCTTGTGACCTGGAATTATAGGGGATGCCCCGTCGCTTCTCCGCACCTTGACATTAATTCCCAGCGCTTCTAATCGACATAACTGCTTCAAGTCCTTCACGCACTGCAATAGGAACCGTACACGCTTTAAAAAATTTAGGAGCTGCCTCCTCCTTCAGTGTTAACACCACTTGTCTGTCTTTAACTGTAACCAACTGATAATCGAAAACTGGTGCAAATTTGCGTTTTCATCTCTCTAACCCAGCCGCAGTCAGAAGAAACTGCTTGTACAACATTGCATGGCATGTTGGCTACAGTCGGCATTCCTAACGCTTGTATCCATTCCCTGGCAAACAGAGGTGGGCCCCCAAATGACAAGATATAAAGGGGCAACAGCAACCTTGAAAGCAGCTTGTCTTGACTTAAGTGAATATTTATTAAGGTTCTGAAGGGAAATATGCTCATCAGAGTCCTCTGAAGACTACTGAATTTGCGCTCTGTGAGCTTGCTTTCTCTTGTTGTGCGTAGAGTTTATAGGTTTGATTTGATTCCCTTGCAAACAAATTGTAAATTTCCTTGCCAGCATGACATCTCGCTTCCCTGGTTCTGCAAGTGGAGGCATCATGTGATGTTGCACCACTGTCCCTTCTTTGTCTGGAACTTGTGCGATTTGCAGGTTTTGGCAAATGGAAATCTGCGTCCTTCAGAGTTAAAAACTTCCACTGGTGTCTCTGGCTCCTGTCCATCATGCAGTACATCAGCATCCTTGGTTGCCTGTTCCATGATGGTCACCACATCAATAGCTCTTTAAAAAGTGAGTCTTTCCTCCGTCAGTAACTTCTTTTAAAATCGGCTCACTAGCCAGCCCCATTACTAATTGGTCTCTGAGAGCTGTTGGTAGATAGTCCCCAAAACCGGCAAGTACTAGCCAGTTTCCATAGGGCAATACCATAGGCAGAAATAGACTCTCCTCGTTCCTGACGTCTCTTCAATAATTTGAATCTTTCAGCAATTCCGAGAGGTTGTGGCTGATGATGCGCAGTAAGTAACACAATTCGTTGAGGGAGAGACTTTGAAGCCGGTACCCAGAAATATAGCCATATGCTTCGTTTCCGGAACATCATTAGCCGCCATGTAATGGTCCAACCGCTCCTCCCATATAGACCATGATTCAGGGTCTGAATCCAAGTCTCTGGCAGTCCCAATCAAAGCCAAAATAGCAGGTTCAACAGCCTCGTAGCCACTGTAGTGTTTCCCCTCCTTTTGGCCTTTTAATAAATATCTCCAGACAGGGTGGGGATGGGACAGAGTCGTATTTACTTAGCTTGTATAAGGAGAAGAGCTCTGTACATGCCGGCAGGAAAACACAGATTGTCAGTATGTTCATGAGTGGCCAGATACATTAATTCCATATATACTGTATGCCGTATACCCAGACAGGGACCTGCACTGTTACTTCTTAGAGTAGTGTCCTTACATTAAGGCTGGGTTCACACCTAGGCGGATTGAATATGCACGTTTTTCGCGCGGAAAACGCCCGTTTCCGAGGGATACTTGGCTGTATCAATGCACATTGAAAATAATGGCATTTCCCTGTTTGAGCGTTTTTCCGCTAGTACGGAAGCGCGGAAAAACGCCTAGGTGTGAACCGGGCCTTAGAGTGGAAGGACCTCAAGGCCCATCCTTTCCTCTCTGCTTCTATTCACACACATCAACTCTTCCAGGTCACAGTTTAAATGCCAGCATGCTGTGTGCTACATCCCCTTCCTGCTGTCTGTGACAACATGCACAGTGCCCGTAACCAAGAAAACCATAACTTCCCACAAGAGAAAACACAGTAAAACCTTACATTTATACTAACAGTTGTCTCAAAAGTCTCTGCGCTCAGTCCTGCACTCTGCTGGGGGAGTTGGATCTCTAGGTTGTGTTTGTTTATTGATCTTATTCATATTAAGCAGTGGTGTCAGCCCTGCCCAGTTATACCCTGCTGGACTACAGAACACTTCCTCTTTAAAGAGATGAGGCGAGAGGGAGGTACATTTATTTGTGCCTTGTGCTTTAAGGGCTCGTGCATACGCTGCACAAATGCTGCATTTTAACCAGTCATGTTTTCGGGGTTTTTTTGTTTGTTTTTTTTTTAAACACCGGTATATTGTTTTCTATGAGCCCATGCACACCGTGCGTAAGGATCCGTTAACTTACGCTGCGTTTGGACCTGTAAAATAAAAAAAAGAAACCTATGCTCCATACACAGCAAAAATTGCTGTGTATGGAGCATATTTTGTGCTGTATGCATGTAAATGTGTGTGCTAACGTTTACATGCGTACAGTGCAAATGTACTTTATTGGAGCTACCTGCAACCTAGCAACAGGGAACACTGGGCTGCCGGAGCATGCGGCTCGAACTGCAACGAGTCCTTCGTTGTTTGAATGCATGTGACTCGAGCTGCCCAGAGTCCTAACATCCAAGGGCATTAGGTGGCAAGGAGACATCATCATCCTTACAACAAATGATTCTTGGTGTCTTGAGCCAACTAGTGTCCTTCGTTGCTAGACTGCAGACAACTCAAGCTGCCTAGCTTCCTTTGTTGCTAGAGCCGCCTGCATCCTAGCAACAAAGTATTCTTGAAGTCTCGTGCCACCTCACATCTTTTGTTGCTAAGATACAGGCAGCTTCAAACTGCCTAGGGTCCTTTGTTGCTAGGATGCAGGCCACTGAAACCACCTTGTGTCCCTTTGTCGCTAGGATGCAGCAGACTCAAGCCACCCAGTATGATTTTGTTTCTAGATCCATCTTCATCCTAGCAACAAAGGATGCTAGGTGGCTTGTGCAAGCTGCAACCTAGCTACCAAGGGCGCTAGGCGACAGGGAGCCACTTGGCGTCTCTTGTTGCTAAGATGTAGGTGGCTTGTGCTGCCTTTGTTGCTAGGACAAAGACGGCACTTGAGGCCTAGCATCTCTCATTGCTAGCATGCAGGCGTCTCAGATCACCTAGCAACCAAAAAGGCACCTTTGTGCTGTATGCATGTAAACATTGCACACATGTTGCATACGTACAGACCACTTTTTGTGCGTGTGCATGAGCACTAATTGTTCATTCTATATAAACTGAATTGTAATTTAAAGTGTTTCTCTAACGTATTCTAAATCTCTTTCCACCCGCAGCTCTTCTCCCAAGAGTATATAAATCTGCTTCTGTCCATGTATTTCTTTATCCTGGGAGTCCTGGCCCTGGCACACACAATCAGGTGAGAATGCATGGCTGACCCTATAGGGTCGATGGAATATTGGACACACAGGGAGTGCATGGTTTTCAGTGAGTTGGCCAACGCACATAGACTTTCTTTGTTAGATGGAGCAGTAAAGCACAACCATTGTGTAGTGCCAGGAAGCAGAGGCTGAGTATGCAATGAACAGAGTCGCCCCTCATGGTACATCCTGTACTTATAGTAGAAGGATACGGGATGTTTATCAGGCAATTTTTAATTAACTCGCTCCCTTGGACTTTTCCAAGAT